TTTGTTTTATATCTGACTCATTAAATTTAAACTCCATGAATGAAAAACCAAAGCTGTCTTAAAGAATTGAAAAAATGAAAATAAAAATAAAATGACCTTGACCTTGCACAATGTTCAAGGTCATAGGTCAAAGATCATAATGCAATTGACCCCATGCTTCTACGACTTATAGTTTTCAAGTTATAAGGTTTAATAGTAATTACAAAGACGTTAAAGGACAATAACTCATATTAGGGGTCATCAGATCCTTTCGCACTTATACAGCGAAGTTATGCCTTAAGACCCTTTAGACATAAGTGAAGGTTTGGTGTATCTACGGTCTACAGTTTCGGAGGAGTAGCGATACCAAGGTTTTTTCGCACAAGGGGCAATAACTTTCAAAAGGGTTAATCTTTGGGAACAAAAATCAAATCTCTGAAATAGTTTCAAGAGTACATATCAATGATGGAAAGACATTAAAAATATGTTGAAAAACTAAAGAGATATTTAAAAAAGCTTAATTTCTCATTTTTGGAATGACCTTGGCCTTTGACCTTTGCAAAAATTTCAAGATCAAAGGTCAATGAATCGTATGCAGTTGGTCACCTGTCTCTACGACTTCTCGTTTTGAAAATTTTTAATTATTTGTAAAATTGAAAACATTCCAGAGGCAATAACTCATTGAACGGGTCAACAAATACTTTCGCAATGAATCATTGAAGTGTCTACTAAATTAGTCTAAGACAATGAGGAAGGTTTCATTTCTCTACGTTTTACGGTTTCTGAAGAGTAGCGATAACAAGCAAAAGGGGTAATAACTGCGAAAGCAGTCATTGTTCATTTACGAAGGGTCAACTGCGAAAATCTTTTATGAAATGCATTCTCATACAATAAAATCTTGAAACAAAAAATCACACGGCAGAAAAATAATAAAAAATAAGAAGAAACAGAAGGAAATCAATAGGAATATGTGAAAGACCTAATAAACATAAGCATTTCAAGTGGTCTTTCCACAGAAAGTTGGAAAGACCTATTAATAAATATAAGCATTTCAAGAAATCTTTCCACATAAAGTTGGAAAGACCTTATAAACATAAGCATTTCGTTTTACAGAAAGGTGGAAAGACCTTGTTATTCTTTTTTCTGTGAGTAGCCAGAAAGTGTATTGCACGAGCGATTACATTTTGAAAGAGAAATATACTGAATATGTTCCGGGGACATGCCAAGCGTGCATCATATTTTACACCTCGATCACTTATGAAGTCATTATGAAATAACGACTAAATAATAAATTTTATGGTTACATGACGAACGTGTTTTACGCAAGTGTAAAAACACCTTGTTCAAATAGTGCTATACAAGGGCAAATGTTTGCATGTAAATATATTTGATTATCAACAATCTCTGAAACACTAGGTCAACCTTTCCCAGTGATATGTGGATTTTATACGTGTTGTAATTCTATATGCTGAGCTCGCAATTATAATGATGTTATATAGAATTGCTTATCATCAATAAAGTTAGTTGAAAGTCATGTTAAAAGTCAGGGTCTCTTGTGGTAACATTACATGGTGTCAGAATGGACAAACTTAACCTGCCGCCATTTCTCTCACGAGGGAACTTAAGGAAGGTCCATACTTTTCCGGATCCGGTTTTAATTTTACACACCAATATTATATTCTGATTATCACGTTTTTATTGAAATAAAATATTTTGGGTGCTTGAAAATAATTTAATAAGTATATATTTATTAATTATAGTGTCAATTTGAATACAAAGGATTTAATGTATATCATTTATGGAAATTAACACTTTACACTCTGTCCATTGGATTTATATGCTTTTAGCATATACACAGACACAAAATTCTTAATTGTCTTTCTGAACCTAAACCTTTTTTATTTTTTTAAACAAACTAACTTGAGATCTATTTTTATAGATTTTAGGACTATATCATTTTTTTTTCATTTTACTATCGTTTTAGATTTTGTAAAAAAAATAATTGAAAAAATTGATATTCCAAAAATGGGGGTATACATGTTCAAAGGGCTGTTTTGTTAAATTTTTCTGGTCAATTATAAAAAAGCTTGTGTTTTTGTTAACCTTAGATATAATTCTTACTAATTTTAGAGAAAAAATGGCACGTAAACAGTTCAGATTTTGAGAATTATTAAAAATAAAGATATTTTCAAAAAAATTCATAAAGACGTGGACAGATTAAACATCAATTTGTTAATGTTTTCCAGGAAAATTTTCAAATATTCTCCTGGCAAATTAATATTTTTTGTTTCCACAAGTTTTAATATAAAATTGATGCGATTTGGGGCATAACTAAATAAAATATGATATCCTACTTCTTTATGCTTAATTTTGGCTGTTGAATTTTTAGAGGTATGTACTCTGAGACATGTTGCATGAAAATTAACCTGCAAAGATAAGTCTTTTATAGGTGTTTTAGTTAGTTCATGGGTTATTCAAGGTATTCAAGTTAAAAAATGATCAGTTTGACAGAAAATTTTAATAGTACGGACCTACCTTAAAAGAAATTGGAGAAAATTTTAACAATTTTTTAAAATATATCTCACAGCAAGTGGAATGGCCGACAAAGAAGAAAAATAAAAAAACAAATATCTTGCTTCATCTGATCGGTCAAGATGTGATGGAGATACATAATAACTTTAAATTTGAGGACGCCAGGAACAAACAGCTAAAACCCGTTCTAGATAAATTCAAGAAGTACTGTAATCCAAGGAACAATATAATATTTGAACGTAAAATATTCAACTCCAGAAGTCAAGGATCAGCAGAGTCAATTAGCAGTTACATTTCCGATCTGGAAAACAAGACCAAATCATGCAAATTTGGCGAGATCAAGGAGTCTTTAATTCGGAATATGGTCGTACAAGGAATTAGAGGAGTGGCTACTAAGAACTCCGGAGCTCACCTTGGGGAAAAGCAATGAAATTTGTAGAGCGATAAAGGCAATAGAAAATCAAATGAAGTTCATGGGGGAGAATGGCGCAAGTACGGAGGGCGTTGACCTCATATAGAAGCAGAAACCAAAACGAGAGATGCAAAAGGAAATTAAATCAAAGTGCGGAAAATGGATAAAAAGCCACGAGCCGAGAAACTGTCCAGCATTTGAAAAAACAATGCTATAAATGCCAAAAGATAAATCATTTTTCTAAAATGTACCGGAACACAATGCATTGGAAATCACATGAATTCAAGACATGTTCATTTAACATGGTAAATAACCGAGACTCGAATACAGTGTTTAAGCTGTGGCCATGGAAAATTCAAATAAAGAATGGATGGCACACCTCAAAATTGGGAATAAGACACTAAGGATGAAAATGGATACAGGAGCACAGGTAAATGTTATGTCAAAGAAAACCGTTGAATCCATATCAAGCGGAAAAATCAATCTGAAAATACAAGTTAGTGTCCTACCCTGGTCACAAAATAAAACCATGCGGAAAAGCGGTGTTTACTGGAGCGTACAAAGGAAAGTCCTTTGATCTAGACTTTCATGTAGTAAATAAGGATGTCTCAACAGTGCTAGGATTAAATTCTTGTATATAGATGTATTAATTGCAAGAGTTAACACTGTGAGTAATAAAGAGGCAGTCCTGGAGAATTCAAGGATGTTTTAAGGAATTGGAAAAATAAAAGTAGACAAATCAGTAAGTCCTGTAGTGAATGTGCCTTCAAAAGTTCCGTTCACAATTAAAGGGAAGGTTAAAACCAATTAAGACGGCATGGAAAAATAGAAAATGATCAAAAAAGAATCAAAGGTCTACATAATTGGTCAATTCTATGATTGATGAGGATAAACCTAACAAAGTCCGTTTCTGTCTAGACCCCTGAGATCTCAATAAAGCTGTGAGAAGAGAACATTTCCTTAAGAGACCGTAGAAGTTGCATTTTAAGTAGCTGGAGCCTTAGTATTAAGTATTCTGGATGCTTCTTCCGGATTCTGGCATACTGTACAGCAGCAAATTAACTCGCGGAGTTAATTTTCGCTATCTTGGCGGAAATAAAAATTCCTTGAATTCAACATACAGTGAATAGTTCTTCAAATTTTTATAAGGATAAATTTAAAATATTACTGTAATCAGTGATAAGATTTGTTTACTGTGTTTGCTTGCAATTATACAATCAATGTACTTAAAATAACGGAGAAAATGAGTGTCTTCCTTGTTACGGAACAATCACTGACACGTAATTGATGGTGATCTTCAACTTAATTGATGAATATTTAACTTTCATAATTAAAATTGAAATCTGCCACTCAGTAGAGGTGTGGTGTACATGTAATTGCAGATGTAACATATTGCTGTGCGTATCACTAAATACGCAGTAAGACAATACCGTTAAGAGGTATTACAATTATATTAACAGTTTAAAGTTATGACTACGGTAGTCGGAACTGACAATTAACTGATCTAAATTCAGGTTGATTTAATTATCCTGGAGTAATTACTACTCTATACGATACTCAAAACATACCTCAGTAGAAGGAAAGAAAAAGGAAATCTCTCTGAATATAAGTAAGAACGTTTTGATTTCAAATCGGGTTTTTGTTATATTTAATCGGGTTCAGATTCGACTGATACGCAAGAAAATACTTGAAATGTTTAAAAAATGTGTATAGATTTTATTTCCGCGTACGCAAACGACCGCGATATATTCAAATTGAAAAATCAAGATCTTTTCCGACCGCGATTTTTACCTGCTGCACAGTATTCAGTTGGATGAAGAGAGTTCAAATTTGACCACTTTCAACACGCCATTTGTGAGATATAAATATCTAAGAATGCCGATGGGAATAAATTCTTTTCCAGAGATATTCCAGATAACTAAATCACAGCTTTTTAAAGATAATGATGGCTGTGGAATTATTATGGAAAATATCTTAGTTTGAGGGAAAATAAATCTCAGCACGAGGACAGATTGTAGAACATTATAGAACAAGGAAAATTGACTTTAGATTAAACAAGGCTAAATACAAAATTAGAATGCCTGAAGTTAAGTTTATTGGACACATCTTCAGCAAAGATGGGATGAAGGCAAATCAGGAGAAAAGGAGAGTAATCAACGACATGAAAAGACCTTCAGACAAGAAGGATTTACAACGATTTACTATGTGGGAAAGTTCATGCCGAAACTCTGAATAAACCCTTATGTCAGCTAATACAATTAGTACAGCGGCATAGCTGAAAAGTTTTCAAATAATTGTGCATTTTGTGATAAAAGTGTAAAATTAAGAGTTTCGATTGAGTAATATATTACAAAAATTTTTGGATATTTGGGCACTTCATTGGTCAATCATAAATGGTTTGGCAGCCATTTATCAAAATGACCTTCAAACGCCACAATTATAAGAATGCTTCTGTAAAACTATAGCAGCTGGTGTTTAATAAAAGAGTCATCCCTCTGCAGAGTCAGAGAAGCAATGTAGTCCACATCCATTCCAAGCACAATCATATTGAAAAGCATTTTAATTTTCGCATTAATTTATCGTATTAAAATAACATCAAATTTTCTATCATGAATCCAACAGTTTAACACTGAGAGGTAACAATTTCCGAAATTGCTTTGGAATCAAGTGAAAATTTTTTGATTGAATGATTTTCTATTATTTAAGGCAGTCGTAATAGCAAGGGTACTGTCAGACTGGTAAATGGGACCTCCCCGTCCAATGGAAGAGTTGAGGTGTACTATTCTGGGGTGTGGGGTACGATATGTGATGATGACTGGGACGATAAAGACGCTGGAGTTATCTGTGTGATGCTGGGATATTCAAGGTGTTTAAAAATATGCAAAGTTTAAAAACAATTAAATTTACATTTTCAAATTGATTGAATGTATTTTGGGCTGTGGGGTACGACATGTGATGATGACTGGGACGATAAAGACGCTGGAGTTATCTGTGTGATGCTTGGATATTCAAGAAATTTACCGATAAATTGATACTGAAAACATGATATAGTATTCTGGCTACCGTAAATGATCGTACCTTGCAGAATTTGTCTAGCGCTTATATTGATATGAATATCTAATGATAGATAAGCAAGGGTAATATAACACTTTGCATTTTATTTCAATCGGTAACTTTCACACATTAACCCCCTCCCCAGAAGTGTGTTTCTTACTTCGAGCTTATTAATCATTTTCGGTGGATGTAGTGACATCAAACTTTTGCATTATATTAAATTGGACAATGCCATGGGTGAATAGTTTTTGATCTATTAAATATATATGCTTTTGAACAACTTCTAAATAACATCTACTTTAAAGAGTCAAGACCGTGGCACATTCATTGGCTCACTTTGGAGAAGGGACGGGGATGATCTGGCTTGATGACGTTGAATGTTATGGAAATGAAACGGACATTGAAATGTGCTCACACTCTTCACATGGATTTCACAACTGTAGGCATAGTGAAGATGCCGGGGTTTCATGTTCAGGTACAAAAAAACCCTTCAAAATAGTAAGGTTTTGTCCTCGATCTAATAAAATATAACTATTTTGAAAAAAAAATCAAAATTTAACAAACAAGACCAATGTCTCTGAATGTCTATATTGCTTCTTAAAACTGCATTTGTCAATTAAAGAATTGTATTATAATTTTGTTTTCGTAAAAAGAATAGAAAAGCTTGTGAATTGTTAACTGATATTTTGTGTATTTTTTTCCTTTGCTTGAGATTTTATTTTCGTGAAATCAAAGTTTTAACTTAGTATATATGGAGAAACCAAACATTTCTTTGATGTATGATTCACCAAAGTTTTCACAGCTGTCAAAAGTTTCTAAAATACAAATTCAGTTAATTACTAAAAGCCTGTCGAATATATCAGAATCAAAATCTAGAGGCAATTTGTTTTTAATTCATATTTTTTAAAATAGATATACAAGGTAATATAATGATCCTGATGTGTTTTATTTTTGATTTCTCTTTTGTATGTGAATGTCTAGATCCCCATGCACTCAATGGCTTGGTTAGACTTGTTGATGGATCCCTTCCTTCCAAAGGGCGACTTGAGGTCTACTATTCCGGTATATGGGGTACGGTGTGTGGAAACAACTGGGGAAGTAAAGAGGCCGGAGTCGTTTGTGCAATGATGGGATATCCAAGGTGAGTAGTTGCTTGACTTATGCATGTATGTTGCTGAAAATTTAATTTGCAAATGGCTTTATGTATAATAATGAATATTAAAAGTTAAATCAATTTCATCAAAAATTGCCACACACGTATACTATATTTTTTATGTATAAGGTTTTTATTTCTACGAAGGATTTTGTCATCAAATATAGAATTTAAAGATTTTCAACAGGGATATCAAAATAAGATAATTTGCTTTCGCTAAATGATGTTGCTATTGTTAATTACTCAATAACCACAGTAAAATTGACGATTTTTAAGGAAATTTTTGAGAGTAATATGCATCTGTACGTTTGCATTCTACACGTTATCAAAAAGGTAAATTTTAAAAGAGGTCCGAAATCGATTAAATTTGCCTTGATTGGTCATACTTAAGATGTTAACAAAAGAAATGACTGTTCCTTGACCAAGCGCTTGAGAAAGTCACAAATGAAATCATAAAAGCTGAGGTCCTGTGTCACGGAAGGCTTTGACATGAGAAAGAACCTTTCCTGCTCAATGGCACCGAGTGCCTAAATTTGTGGACATTCATCGGCGTACGGCGACGCTGAAGATAAATATGATGCAATAATAATGATTTAAGAACAGTTGCAAAGGGATTTTCTTAGTCACTCTGGTTACCTATCTTTATCAGATTTTGTCCGTCTTCGGGTGTTTTTCTCTGAAACCGCTCAACCAATTTCAACCCATGTTGGTTATAACATCTATGAGTTGAAGAGGAACGAAAAGTTTGAATTTTATGGTCCCTATATTGTACCCGCTATAATTTGAGGGTGGGGCCAAAACCACTCAAGGACATCAAGCAGTCAAACTGTTGGCATGATTGTAATAAGCATTGAGTCCTATACCAAAATTGTGAATTTCATGGCCCCAGGGTCACGGTTTCTGGTGCTAGGGCAGAACCCTGTTGAATATATAGTGAAAAATGTATTATTTATTTAAAAATCTTTAAGAGTGCCTCTTCCAAAGTTTTGAATTTCAAGACCCCTGGATAAAGGATTACTGTGTAAGGACGGGACTCTAATATTACGAAAATTCATAAATTTTGTGAAAATCTTCTCCCCTGCTTATGATTATAAAGCTGATAAACTTTGTATATACTTATGATGAGAAAGGGTGTCTCTTCCAAAATTATGAATTCCTTAAGAGCAAAAAATCATTTCGCTTTAAAAACCGCCGAAACACTATATGCCTCAATAAAAACAAATTTATTGAATAACTCATAAGAGGTCTAGAGTCTCGAGCCCTATTAAATTTACAACAGGCTTGGTTGATTGATGTCTTTTTTTTCAAAACCAAGCTTTACGAAATGTCGTCACATCGACAAGTGCATTGCGATCAGTGACTTGTTTTTAACTTGTTACATGGAATTCAACTGATAGAACAGCATGCTGTAGTAAGTTTTGATGTAGTTTGATGGTTTCATATGGTTTAAAATAGCAGATTACCTCATTTTGTGGTAATTTTAAGAATTGTTGGTTTTAAATGCATGATGTCATAATTATTTTTTTCGTACAAATAAGGCTTTGCCCCTTTTTTGTAGCCTAAACTGTGCTGCGATGTTGTTACCTGCTTTGTCATCAGGGACTAGTATTGTTCTACTTTTTTCACTCCTGGATTGTTGAATACTGAAGGATAGACGGTTTTCATATTACCCCTCAATCCTTTAATACGCGATTGTAACATAGATGATATACATTGAATCTATTCTGACAAAGCGTCAATGTCTCCCTTTTCATATCTCGTCCATCGCCTGGCGTAGTCGTCTACAGAATCCATAATATTTCTTTTATATTATTTTTATATAGAAGGATCAGGGTTCCTTATATTTACAACCTTTTTAAAATTATTGATCTCAGGTCCTCATTATTAACAATATTTAAATCACCCGTAATAACGTGTCCAGCAGAAATATAATTATAGCTTAAAGAAGAACATGAATATGATGGACGATTATGTTTCAAATATTCGATATCCAGGCCCTGTAATTTTTTCTTGTAATTGAAAAGTTAGGTGATGTATATTTGTAGTAAATACATGCTGTAGTCTTTATCTTGGAATATGGTGGACTGCAAAGACTAGAGCTTTTTGTGATTAAAGATATTACTTATTTTGACCGCGTCAGTTTCTTGTTTGGCATATTAATTGATTGATTGTATATTGTTTTATGTTCCTCTCAAGAATTTTTCATTCATATAGGGACGCCGCCACTTGCCGGTGGAAAGCTGCAAATATTGTCAATTACTCGGCACTCAAAGCCATTAAGCAGGGAGGGATCTTTTTCGTGCCAGCATCTATTGCGACATGGGACTTCGGTTTATACAGTTTCAACTAAAGGACCGGTCTCCATGCTCCACAGTGGGATTCGAACCCCGCGATGTAAGGATCAACTCCTTACTTTGCGACTCTAGAGCAAGCACTCTAGCCACTACGCTACGCAGACGACTGTTGGCATATTGAAGTTTAAGGAAACGATGGATTGTTTTAGCTGCATTTTATTTGGTAAAACATCGTGGTGTAAAAAGCCTATGATTTGCAATATCCATAATCACAGATCCAAGCCTATATTCAGGTGTCGATGAATCAAAAAATGGTCTTTCCTTGACCTTATCAAGATGACTATTTAAATATTTCAAAGGGACAGAGTAAAGTTTGGTGCGAATATGATGAAGACCTAACTGTTGATTTACATGAATCAAAGTAGACAGGTTGATTGTAAGACCCATGCCCATACCCTAACAACAAAATACTATAGTTAACTATAGTTTACTTTAGTTTACTATAATACCAAAGTATAAACTTTGGAACTTTGATTTACCATAGTGAAAACTTTGAAACTTTGATTAACTATAGTAAAAACTTTGGAACTTTGATTAAATACTATAAAATCCGTGAAATTCTGTTTCTGATTCCCAATCTATACAATTTATATCATTTTTTCAAGGTAAAGATTCATTAAACTTCAGAAAACTTTCTAAAACACGACGCGTCTCCAGAAAGATTGATGTAATAGATAAAAAATTTAAGGTAAAGGTTTTCTCTTGCGCCGATAAATAAGCAAAATTTATTCAAATCTATTCAAATTAAATGTTATACAGAGGAAACGTGTCTTATTTATGAAAAAAATACTATAAAATAGAATTTGCGTAATTTAGAATCAAAATATTTGCTAGATCAACCTCAGTTAACATGTTTTTTTTAAATGTAAATATTGCATTCGAGTTATTTACTTTGTATATTGAAATTAAAATGTACAACAAAAACGAGCCCCAACCTATCCCGAACTAATGAAAAAAAATCTTCAAAACCTTGATCTCAGTTAAAGTCATCATTTCGTCAGTTCTATGGTCGATACAATGACCTTGTCAGCTAAAAGAATTTATCATTGAGACAAATGCTGACTGACGTTTTGCATACTAATTGATAGTCCATTATTTATACACTGAATAGACGACGGATTTTTCCGTTATTTGCCGATCATGAAAAGGAGCACACGGCAGATGTGACCGGTCGGTCGGGGGTGCTCACTCCTCCATGGCACCTGATCCCACATCAGATGTTTTGGAGGTCCGTATTTGCTCTGTTCCTATACTGTATTGTTTTATGGACTTTTAATCTTGAATACTGTTCGTTATCTCCATATGTTTCAATACTTTTATAAAAACTTTCCAACTTTGATTTACTATAGTGACAACTTTGAAACTTTGATTTACTTGTATGGTTAAAAAGTCCAATCATATTTACAATGTTTCACTGTGGACTGAAGAGATTTCCAAAACTGTCGACATTGTCATTACATATATAGGGAAAGTCTGTCTCTATTTCTCTAATCAAAACTTGTCTACGGAAAGGTATACGCTGTGAAGAACTGTTGGTGTGGTGGTAAATCTTTTCTAAAAAATCTAACTTCCATTAACAGAATAGAATGATCAGGTGAATTAAAATGCTTGTATAAAAGCTGTTGGCCTCCATTATTTATGTGAAATCTATGACCTGATATTCTTTTATCTAGTGACCCCTTGGATTCACTAACATAAATAAGTCCACACTGATTACTTCTCTATTCCGCAGACAACATTAGAAGAATTGCAATTAAGATTTTCCCAAGTGTTAGTGTAAGAGCTCTGTCCAGTAATATTACTAGTGAAAGAAGGGTTAGTTTTCAAAATGCCGTAAGTTTTACATTTCTTTGCAGACCATTTTGAAATAGAACACAGGGATTCCGAAAAGAAACCTTTTAAAATATTTGTAATAGAAACCTTACATTTTTTCATTATTTTGTATGAAATATTTGTTTCATACCAAACTTGGGAATCTAAAGAGTCTGCATATGACATATGTTTAATATCCCTGAGGATAATCCTAGGGACACCAAATAAACTCTTTGATTGATTGATTATTTACTGTTTAACGTCCCTCTCCAGAATATTTCACTGATATGGAGACGTCACCATTGCCTGTGAAGGGCTGCAAATTTAGGCCTATGATCGGCACTTACGGCCTTTGAGCAGGGAGGGATCTTTATCGTGCCACACCTGCTGTGACACGGGGCCTCGGTGTATACGGTCTCATCCGAAGGACCGCCCCATTTAGTCGCCTTTTACGACAAGCAAGGGGGTACTGAGGACCTATTCTAACCCGGATCCCCACGGGGAAATAAACTCTTTGAATCTGTGTCACTTATAGACTCAAAGAAATGACGCCTCTTTATACTGGGCGTCGCGTCTACCAGTATCATTTCGTTGTTCTGTTTATTCATGAATGAATAGTTACCGAATCACAACTATCCTCGGGGACAGAATGTCCACCAGCAGAGAACCGTTCACGGTATCTCAGTCGGTAGAGCGCTCGCTCCGTGACCGGGAGTTTGTGAGTTCATATCTCGGCCGCGACTGACCTAGTCGATAAAATTTGTAGCGACTGTTCCTTTGCCATGCACTCGGCACTTAGAAGTACAAGTTGCGGGTCCTTCGGATG